CCCGACACCAAGCATGGGGACACGAGCTCGCCATCAAGGGGGCCCCAGTGTCAGGGAATAAAGATGCGCGTCATGGCTCTGGGCTGAGGCCGGCGCCCCGTGTCTAAAGCGGGCCCTCCCGTGACTTTCTGTGGGACCTTGGAACCAGTCCCACCCCTCTCCCAGCTTCAGATTTCCCGGTCGGTGTGACAAGGGGTCAAAACCCAGGTCGGAGCTTTTCAGTGGTACACTGTGGAACCCCGGAGTCCTGTGGCCAGGGGGTCCTTGGGGGGCCCGGCCCCCACCCTGCCTGGTCCGCCTGGATGCTGGGGCGCCATGAAGGCATTGACAGGTGAATCCTGTACAGACGAAGCTGTGAGAAGCAGGGGGCCCGGTGAGCCCTGCAGCCTTCGAGGATGGTGAGACAGGCCACCCCCTCCCCACTGCCACCAGCACCCCTACCGTGGGCAACACCTTTCCGATAAATATGACGGAGGGGCTGTTGACTCCCAGGAATTGTCGGGGAGACCCGGATGAAAGTAATAACGAGATGCTATTTCCCCCCATTCGATTGACGATCGAAGGGCACACCCACGTGGTGAGGAACCTGGCTGGTGAGGCAGGAATTGGGAAATTGCCTTAAAAATGCCCACACCCTTTGAGCCGAGACCTCACTTCTTGGAGTCCTCAAGTAGGAGGGACGTGCTAGGACTTGGGTGCTGTGGACCCCCTCCCCCACAACGGGACTTAGAGAGAAAACCCCACATCCCACGGCCAGGGACAGATGCATCCTCTTTCCACGTGGTGGAATGCCACGCAGCCCTTAAGGGTTACGCTTCTTCTGTTTAAGTGTATGAGGAAATGTGCAGGACTCGAAAACAAAGCTCCCAAGACATAAAAATACGTACGTACAACATGACCCACATTCTACGACCAACGCACATGTGTGCCCGAAGGCTGCCCGGCCAGAAGTGGCTCGGAGATTGTAGACGGTTTTCATTTTCTTATTTATATTTTGTTGGGGTTCTTTAATTTTTTTTAATTTTTTTAATGTTTGTTTATTTTTGAGAGAGAGAGGGAGGGAGCATGAGTGGGGGAAGGACAGAGAGAGAGAGGGAGACACAGAATCCGAAGCAGCTCCAGGCTCTGAGTTGTCAGCACAGAGTCTAACGTGGGGCTTGAACTCATGAACCGTGAGATCATCACCTGAGCCGAAGTCAGATACTTAACTGACTGAGCCACCCCGCCACCTTATTAATTGTTAATAAGGGCCATCGATTACTCATCTATGACTTTTGTCATCAAAAACGGTTGTCAAAAATGACTGTTTTACACACACACGCACACACACACGCACACACACACACACACAATTAAATCGTGGTCTCCCCAGGAGCTCCAGGCCCATGCAGATGTTTTCCAGGGAGGGACAGTGATAAGTTCCACCCCCAGGCGTTAGCTCCTGTGACCTGGGAGGCTTTGCAAGCAGGAGATAGGATGTAGTGCTTTCCTTCACATGCACCTGTCAGCCCCATGAGGTGCCAGGCTCTGTGTGCCTGGTCTCTGGAGTGCAAGAGACACCGCCCCCTCCTGGCTGGGGCACAAACCCACACACAGAGCCACAGGGAGAGGGAGTAGGGGGTCGGGCTGAGGTCCAGGGGGGCCCCGTAGGGAGAGCAAGTGCTCTGGGCCCTGGAAGGAGGGCTGACCTGTGCCGGGAGTCCCAGGGGAGCGCCGCGGACGTATAGGCGGCCTCCGACTCTCCTCACGGCCCCTGCATCGCGGGAAGGGACACTGAGCGCTTCCTCTTGGGTCTGTCCGCAGGTTCCTCCATCTGGCACCCGGCGTGCCGACAAGCAGCCAGAACTGAAGACAAAAACAAGGTTGGTGGAATTTACGATCTGCTCCCGTGCGTTCGTCAGCGCCGTGTGCGGTCACCCGCTTCTGTAGACTCACCGGCTGTAGACTCACCCGCCCACGGGCCAGGCAGCGCGAGGCCTGGGGGTGCTGAGGTGCGCCGGGTGGATCCACCGAGGGGCTGGTGCAAGGTGGGGCACGCACGGGCATCTCCGGGCCTCCCAGCGCTGGCCCGCTGACCTCCCCACGGGTCCCGTGGACTCGAGGGCCGCAAAAGCTCAGGGACAGCTCTGACGTTAGCAGGTCTCCAAATAGTCTCCAGACTGCCCACACTTATGGCACCAGCTGCAAGTTTGAGGGGCCCCAAACTGCCCTCGGTCTCAGTCGTTCGTTGGAAAGACTCACAGACACGCTGAAGGCTATCCTCGTCACGGTTACGGTTTATTGTGCGAGAAATCAGCCAGAGAAAGAGGGCGCGGGGCAGGGTCCAGGAGGGGTCCAGCCCCAGAGCCGCTCCTCTCCCGCGGAGACAGGACGTGGCAACCCCGGGCCCGCGCGTGACTGCACGCGCCGGGTATTACCAACCAGGGAAGCTGTGTGTCCAGAGATCTTAGTGGGGCTCCACTGACTGATTGACTGATTGCCACATGGTTGATTTCACCCCAGATCACACGGTGTCTCTCTGGTGCCGGCCCCACCCTAAGCCTGTTGGGTGAGGGTGACCCCCTCCCTGAGCAAACAGTCTATCAGGTGGACACAGATCACCCTTCAGGGTCGAGGGCGCAGGCCAGGCCTCTCTCTGGGCAAGGCCAAATCCCTCGCTGCCCAGAGGCCCAGCTGGGCGCCAGGCACAGAGGCGTCGCAGTGAGGAAGAAGGGTTGCCCTCTTGGGACCGAGTTCTAGGGAGAGACGGAAATTGATGCCCAAACGAGCGATAATGCAACAGAGGCTGGTGTCGGGGGCAGGATGGATGGTCAGGGAGGGCCTCGGGAGGACATGGGGTGGGAGCTAGGCCTGCGGGATGAGCCGGGCGGCCCTGGCGGGAGGGAGCGGGGAGGGCTGCCGGTGGCCGGGCAGAGTCGCCTCGCCCTTAGCCCTGCAGCGAGGGCGGGGCTCAACCGGCAAGCCCCAGCTGGGCCCATCTGTGGGACTAGAAGGTTTTTGGAATTTCCGTGAGGCTGGATGGAGAGCCCATGGGCTCAGGCCGCTGAGGTTCACAGGGCTGTTGGCTGGCGGAGGAGACGCTCCTACGGGCCCCCGCAGGATGGGTGGGCTCCCCCAGGTCGGCTGTCGCTTGCCAAGCCTGTTCCGAAAGACCCCAGCAGAGGGAAGTGCTCCCGCATCCTGTAGAAACGGAGTCTGGTGGGTTCGGAGGCCCCTGCTTCTCACGCACTCGCTCACAGTGCTGCCTCTTTGGTTTGTCGTTCATTCAGCAGAGCTTTACCCAGCGTCTGGTTGTGCCGAGCCCTGTTCTTGGCCCGGGGCCCAGAGGTGACCGAGTCCTGCCCCAGCGTGCTGGGGACACAGGGGGAATGGGTGGGCACACGGGGACGCCCAGCCTGTCACCGGGACACGAGGGCAGGGGGCCCTGGGCCGGGGCAGGAGGGCTCCGTGGAGGAGAGGCGCCTCCTCTCGCGTCCCCAAGCCTCCCCTAACCCGTGACAGCCTCGCATGGTTGCTCAGCCCCTCTCCGTGGACGCCAGGCCGGCCCGAGGGAACTGCGCCTCTGAGCTCTCCTCTTCCGGCCTGACACTTCCTTCCGCCTGCCAGCTCGTTCCTCCCGATTTTAAAGTAGTGCCAGTTGCTTTTCTCAGAGTTGTCAAAGTGCCTACACAGGGCTCTGGTTTAATTCGGGTTCAGATGGTCGCCTTTGATGGCCACAGAGAGGAGGTCCACTCAGCGTTAAGCGCTGGTGGGCACAGACCTCCATATGGCCACTGCTCCGGCCTCGGGCCTGGGGGGTGGGGAGAGGCAGGGGGCCCGGCCCTGGGTACAGGGAGCCACAGGAGTGGAGGGCGGGGTCTTGTCCCCTTGGGGAGGGCAGGTCTGTGGCCGCTGGACCCTGGCTTGGGCCACTGCCCATGTCTGCTGAGACTCAGGAGGCCGAGGGACTGACGACCGTGCAGAGGGAAGCAAGGGGCAGGGGAGCCCGACAGCCTGGGAAGAGACCCCGGGGGCTTCAGCGGCCAGGCTCACTGTCCCCTGTCACCCTTCCGGCTAGATTCCCAGACTGTAGCCCCAACTAGAGAACACTGGGATTTGGGCTGCAAGCCGCCCGCCTGGCCTGCCCCCTGCCCCTCAATCTCGGGGACTGAAGCTACTGTGCCCTGGGGTTCCCCCACCCCCCCCCCCCCCCCCCCCCCGCTGCCAGGGGTGAGGTGCAGAGGTTGTGAAGGATGGTGCCCCTCCCCAGGCCCTGCACCGGGGGACTGTGTGAAGGTGAGGAAGGGGGACAGGCCCACATGACGGTGGTCCTCCCAGCTACAGGGACACAGAGCCGTGGAGACTGTGGCTTCCTGTGGCTGCTGTAATGAATTACCGCAAATTTAGTGGCTGGAAGGGCACAGATGTATCCCCTCCCTCGGGGGCCGGAGGCTGAGGATGGGCCAGCAGGGCTATGCTCCCTCTGGAGGCTCCAGGGAGAAGCCCCTCCTCATTCGTTGCCACATCTGGAGCCTCCGGGGTTGGCTCCCGGCCCCACGTCCTTCAGACCCCGCTTTCGTCGCCACGTGGGCCCCGGCCCCCCAGCCTCCTTCAAACGACCCTGAGACCCCAGGGAGCCCACCTCCCAACTCGAGCTCCTTACTCCCATCGGCAGAGACCCTTTGGTCACACGTGGGCATCCTCATGGATGTTACTCTGTTCCCACAGTGACAGGATATGCCCAGTTGGTCTCGTTCACGGTCAGGGTCACAGTAGGTGGCGGGCACGCCCCACTGTGCACCACATCCTCTCACATCATACAGCCCACGATTCCCTCCATAACCCGCCCCCGTGCCACCCCGGGCACATCCCTGCCCTCACAGAGCCAGCGTCCCTGACCCGGAAGTGACCACGGGGTCCTGTCTGTGGGACCCCTCCCCGAATCCCAACCCAGAGGCCTATCGGAGGGACCTGGCCGAGGGACCCCACATGCCAAGAGGCCTCCAGGCCCGTCTCCGGAGCGTGACCGGGTTAGAATGGGGGACCCGGGCCAGCCCGCTCAAGGACAGGTCGGGTGGCCAGCCCTGCTCGTGGCCTCTGGACCCGGCTGCGAGGCTGGCCTCGGGGCCTGCGGGGAGCCCAGCTCCCTCTGCTCTCAGCCCAGGGGTCCGCCCGTGATGACCGCAGCTGCCGGCCCGAGGAAGGGAGGCCCTCTGAACAGTGGACGGGGAGAAGGAGAGGGCGCAGCCGGAGCTGGCTTCCTGGGCTGTGTCTCCACAGACGCCTTGGGAACATCTGGGGCCGAGGCCGTCCCATGAGGACAGCTGTCCCCCTCGGTGCTGCGCCCTGGGGCTGGCACGGCTCGGGGCCCACCCCTCTGTGTCCTGGGACGGCATCCAGGCCCCGGCCATGCCCTGCTTGCCCCTCACTTCACCCTCCCTCGCTCCAGCCCCTCAGAGCCTCTTCTGTCTCGCCTGAGAAATGAGAATAGACCCGGGCGGGGCCGGGCGGTGAGCGCCCGGGTGACAGGAAGGCAGAGCCCTACGTGTCCTGTGTTGCTTCCTGCAAGCTGGTCGGGGAGCACGAGCCAGCAGCCCCGGCCAGCGTTGGGTCAGCGTGGCGGAGCCAGCCCCGGAGACACGCAGCAGAGGTGGTGTGGGCCTCGCTGAGTCTCTGGTGGGGGGTGATCGAGACAAGAGGCACCCGCCAGGAACTGACCAGCAGCCCCGTCATTTACCAAGTGCCCCCCCGCCCCCGCCAGGCTCCAGGACCCGTAGGACCAGCTGGGTCCTGGCCTCCCAGTTGCTCTCCAGCAAGAGAGGCCGGCCCTGGGGTCCCTGCAGGGACGGGCGAGGAGGCAGAGGGCACTGTGTCCTCCCTGACCACATACCCCGGGGGCACGGCCGCTCCCCAGGACAAGGATGGCCCCTGGGTGTCTGCTGAGGGCGCTCAAGGAAAGCCTTCCGGAAGGCTGTGGCCCTGACTGCCCGTCCCCGGCACGTCCTTGGTCATTGGGTCACTCAACACACAGCCGGCCCGTGAGTGCCCGTCGGCTGGGTGGCGGAACACAGACGCGGGGAAGACTGGCGGCCGCCCTGCCCTAGAGGCACGTGTGGGATGAGGGGGCTCCCGCAGGGTGCCCCCCGGGCGACGGGGAGGGGCGGCCCCCCTGGACGGGCCTAGGCGGCAGGGTGGGGGAGAGGATGTCTTCCTGGAGCCGAGCCTTGGCAGGTGGTGCGGGAGGTGGGTCTCGGGGCCTGTGCCTAGGGAGCCGGGGGTCTGCAGGGCACTGAGACTGAGGGATTGTTCTAGAGCCTGGCCGAGGGTGGCCCCAGGCCTGCCAAGTAGCTGGAGAAGAGCTCCAGGGGGCCTGGAGCTGGGGCCCAGCGGCCCTGGGAGACAGGGCAGGCCCGGAGGGGAGGGGGCGGCCCCACGCCCGGTCCTGGAGGAAGCCGTACCCAGGAGCGTGGAGGGGGCGGCCGGCGCTGATGAGCGGGCGAGCGGGCGCCTCACCGAAGAGGTGAGCCCCGGCATCACGCCCTCTGCCTCTTCTCTTTCCTCCCCAGATGCAGAAGCAGGCTTGCAGTCAGGTTTACCCGGGCACCACCCCCTGTGCCTTGCAGGTTTGTCCCTCCCACTGCCGTGGTGGCCTCGCATCTGCTCCTGGTGTTGTCCTGTCCTTGCTGCTGTCCTGCCGACAGTGTAGGAGGTGCTGGGCATCCTCCAGCTGGGAGGGCAGGCTCCACGGCCCGTGCCGGTGTCCTGGGGCCGCTGTGTACAATGGTGCAGGCTGGACCCTCAGCCGGCAGGGATTTATTCTCTCCCGGTCCTGGAGGCTGGGAGTCCTGGCTCAAAATGTGGGCTGGTTGGTTCCCTCTGAGGCCTCCTCCTTGGCGTGTAGACGGCGGTCTTCTCCCTGTGTCCTCACCTGGTCGTCTCCTGTGCGCGTCTGTGTCCTGATATCCTCCTCTCGTGGGGACACCAGGCCCACCCTAGTGACCTCATTTTACCTTAATTACATCTTTAAGTGCCCCGTCTCCAAACGCGGTCACACTCTGGGGTGCCAGGAGTTAGGGCTCGAACATGCGAGTTTTGAGAGAGAGAATTCAGCCTGTGATGTGGCCCCTCCCAGGGCCGCTGCAGCAGGCGTGGGCCACCGAGAGGGATAGAGACGAGGTAGGAGGCAGCCAGCCGGAGCTGTCAGGAGGCAGGGGGAGGCCAGGCGGGGGTGGTCCAGGCAGGGGTGGAGGCTGGACCAGGAGGGGCAAGCACGTCCTACCGGTGGGGTTGGACGGACGCCGGTATGAGTGATGGGAGCCGGGGAAGAAGGGTGTCCACGCAGGGTTGGGCGGGCCTGGAGTGCGGAACAGAGGAGGGGCCTGGGGAAACTGTTGCCTCCGGGGAAGCAGGAGATGTGGCCGAGGAGGGAGGAGGGGCAGGGGTGGGCCCTCGGGGAGCAGGTCACAGATGGGGTGGCCGCAGAGTCTGACAGCAGAGGCCCGGGCTGTTAGAATGAGCTAAACACGCCCCCCACCCCTGTAACCTACGTGGAAAATAACATCTCCGAGCAGCAAAACTCTGGGTAAAAGGGACGGCCTTGGCCTCTGGAGTGCGCAGAATCCCTTGCTCTCGTCCTCCGAAAAACAGATAATTTCTTTGCGTGAAGCCGGGTGATCATCGGAGCGTTTCCAGCGGCACGGAGAACGTGCTGGTCGGCTCGGAGTTGGCGTCACCTGCCGCGTCTGTCTGATTATAGCTTTCCAGCCGCTCATTCAAGCCCACGTGTTTATTTTAAGAACTCTTTCAATCTGAAAAAAAAAAAAAAAATGTCGTTACTGGCATTTCTGTCGGAGTGTGACCTGTGATAATTTGCATCTGGAAGGTTCTGGAATCAACATATTCTGCTTTCAGTCTCCTCCTGTCGCCTTCCTTTCCAGGAAACCAGGAGCTCCTCAGAGAGCATCATTTCTGTACCTGCTTCCAGCACCTCGGGGTCTCCGAGCCGCGTGATCTATGTGAGTTGGAGAGTGGGGAGGCCCGTGGTGGGAGGGTCCGGACCCGGGTCATGGCCAGGGGTGCCCTTGGGGGCCGGGGCGTCCTCAGGTGCTGGGGTGCAGAGCCGGGGCTCTCGCCGCGGCCGTGGGGTGCAGACTGGTGCAGACTTCGTGAGGTTAACTCCGAGCTTTCGGTGAGGACCATCACGTGACCCCGCAGCTCCTGGGTGACGTGGTGGTGGTGCCCAAAGAGATGTGCTCACAACTGTTGTCCATAATGGTGTCAGCTCAACACCGCCTCCCTGTCCTGCAGCTAAGGCTTGCCCGAAAAAGTGACACTCGGCACACGGGGGACCGGGCTGGTGTCACCAATAGGCGTGCAGATCTGCATCTGCTACCTGGGAAGCGTTTCTAACGTGCTCCTCCGAGAGGCCTATGAAGGATAATCTATGTTATGCGGTCCCGTTTTCATGAAAGAGTGTACGTGTGTATGCGTGTGTGTGCGCATATGGGTATATATGTGTACAAATGTATGTGTGTTTACATATGTGTATGTGTGCATATGGGTATATGTGTGTATGGGTGTGCATATGTGTGTGCATATGGGTATATCTCTGTACAGATGTGTATATACATGTATAAATGTATGTGTCTGCATATGTGCATGTGTGCATATGGCTACATATGTGTATGGGTGTATGTATGTGTGTGCATATGGGTATATGTGTGTACAGATGTGTGTGGGCGTGCACATATGAGGATATACATGTGTAAATGTATGTGTTTACATATGTGTATGTGTATATGGATATATATGTGTATGGGTGTGCATATGTGTGTGCATATGGGTATATGTGTGTACAGATGTATGTGTGTTTACATACGTGTGTGTGTGCATATGGGTATATGTGTGTATGGGTGTGCATATGTGTGTGCATATGTGTGTGCATATGGGTATATCTGTACAGATGTGTATATACATGTATAAGTGTATGTGTTTACATATGTGCATGTGTGCATATGGCTACATATGTGTGTGGGTGTTTGTGTGTATGTGTGTGTATATGGGTATATGTGTGTACAAATGTAGGTGTGTTTACATACGTGTGTGTGTGCATATGGGTATATGTGTGTACAGATGTGTGTGGGCGTGCACATATGGGGATATACATGTGTAAATGTATGTGTTTACATATGTGTATGTGTGTATGGATATATATGTGTATGGGTGTGCATATGGGTAGATGTGCGTGCAGGTGTGTGTGGTATGTGCATATATGTGTGTATGCGCGCACATGGGTATACACATATGTAAATGTATGTTTACATATGTGTATGTGTGCATGTGGTATATGTGTATATAGGTATATTGTGTGTGCACAGATTTATATGTACATGTGCATATGGGTATATGTATGTGAAAATATGGATTTGGCAGGACCTAACCCAGCCCATAGTGCATCGCTGTCATTAAAAATAGTAATCGTGATAGTATCTTTTTAAATGTTTATTTTTGAGAGAGAGAGAGACAGAGCAGAGAGAGAGGGAGACACAGAATCCGAAGCAGGCTCCAGGCTCCGAGCCATCAGCACAGAGCCCAACGCGGGGCTCGAACCCACGAACTGTGAGATCATGACCTGAGCCTGAGTCAGACGCTCAGCTGACTGAGCCACCCAGACGCCCCAAACACGAACCACTCTTTTAAACACACTGGTGTTTGTGAAAGACCAGGTATTGTTGTGACCGTGCAGTGAGCAGAGACACTGGTCACCGTTGTCACAACTACTTGCAAGGCTCCGCGACTGTCCACGGTGGCGCTTACTGGGTGTGCCTTCGACTGAAGCAGATGGGCCTCAGGCCGGAGCACCCCGGCCGTCCCTCCCCCATTAGCGTGGTGTCCGCTCCCAATTGGCACAAATCCTCGACCTCCCTCGCCGAGGAGGCGTGAGTCCTGCAAGACGAGCCCTTCCTATCTCGGGGCTCTGCCTTGCTTTTGCTTTCGTGTCTTTCCTGGCATCTGCTGTTGCCCTACTGTGCGCCTGACCCCGTGCTTGCTGCCGGACCTCGGGAGGGTGGCCCTGGTCCCCGTGGCGGCTCGGTGTACTTGGAAGGACGCCAGCAGTCCGGCAGCTCACCGGTGCGAGGGGAAAGATGAATACCATCGTCCCCCGCCAGTGCCCGCGTGGCCACTGTTAATATTTTGGAGCACTCCCCGTGGGTCTCTGGGTCCCTTTTCTCTCTGTGTATTTTCTTTTAACCACAGTGAGGTCACACTGAATATTTGTTGCAGCCTCTGTTCACCATGGCAGTAAGTCAGTAACTAGGCATAGCGTAACATCAGCATTATTGCGTTATGACGTATTATTATCGACAGCGCATCGTAAGTATGATGTCCTGTGTGGCCGTATATTGTTATTGTTTATTATGCCGGGTGGCGTGTGGGAGAGAGAAAGGCGCAGGGAAACCACATGAACCTGTACACACGCCCCAGTGGCCCTCCGCCAGTCAGAGAGCCTGTTGTCACGGCGACCGCCGGGAGGCAATGGGTCTGTGAGCCCCGCTGGGCGGGACAGATGCCGAAGAGCCAGGCGGAGCCACTTTCCAGGGTGGGAGCGGGCACGAATGGTGCCATCAGGCCGCCTCTGCGGTCCGTGCTGTCAGGGGCTGACCCAGGGCAGGGCCGGCCTCCCTGATCCGGGCACCGCGGGGCTGGGACGGCCGCGGGCAGATGCTCTGATCGGGGTGGGATCCCGAGGCAGGGACTGGGGGGGAGGCACCTGCAGGCCTTGCCCCGCCCCTCACTCCAGTGTCAGCTTGAATTTGATGTCCGCGGAATCCAGCGGGTGGACAAGACGTAGGTGGTGTCCCCATTTTACATGCGGAGACGGAGGCCCAGAGCGTCCTCCTGACTTTGGCAAATGCCCCGTGGATTTTAATTCAGTTCTCAAGCACGTCCCAAGGACCTTGCCGTGCCGGGCACGGAGTCAGGGAGGAGGACTCCATCATGAATCAGAGAGACTCATTGGGCCCCCAGGAGCCGCAGGCCCAGACAAGGGGAGACAGACGCGCCCACCAACGTCCGCACCTTGACTTAAAGGAGACAAACACAAACGTGAAACCAGATGGCGGAGGGGAGCAGGGACGGTCTCCCAGACAGGGAGGCCTGGACTGGGTCTGGAAGAACAGCCAGGCAAAAGGGACGGGGATGCCGAGAGAGAGAGAGAGAGAGAGAGAGAGAGAGAGAGAGCGAGCACGGGAGCGCAAGCTCACAGCAGGTGCCAGGCCCCCGGGCTCTGGATGGCTGGGCAGCCATAAGGAGCTCCTCGTAGCAGGTAGCATGGCTCTGAGGGGCGGGTCACTAGGACAGGCAGAGGCACAGGGTCCCCTGAGGGACAGCTCAGAAGTTCTGATCAGGGCCCATCCCGACTACAGACAACAGACTTAGAAATTTTTTTTTAATTTTTTTTAACGTTTATTATTGGGAGACAGAGGAACATAGAGCGTGAGCAGGGGAGGGGCAGAGAGAGGAGGAGACACAGAATCAAAAGCGGGCTCCAGGCTCCAAGCTGTCAGGACAGAGCCCGACGTGGGACTCGAACTCAAACTGCGAGATCATGACCTGAGCCGAAATCGGTCACCCAACTAACAGAACCACCCAGGTGCCCCCAGACTTAGGATTTGAACTCAGGTCCTCAGAACCCTGCCCAGGCTCCAAAGGGAAGAGTCAGAGATCTGAGACCTCACGCATTCACTCTCTCAACCTGTGTCACAAACAGCAGCATTCACCCCGAGACCACCCACCAGACTCATGAGAGCCCTGGGGTCAGGTGGTCAGGGAAGGCTTCCTAGAGGAGGTGGGCTGGGGCTGCTGAACCGGGGGCTGAGCCTGGCATGCGGGGGCACAGGGAGGAGACCCCTCAGGGCCAGCAGGCTGGGAATGTCAGCAGCGCACTTGGGGAACCACAGCGAGGGCTTGCGTCACCCACCCAGAGGGGCTGGAGGGCAGGGTGTCGTCGCTGGGGCTCCAGAGACGCGGCCCTGGCAGGGACGGGGGCGACGGTGGGGAGCATGGCTCTGGAGTCAGACAGCCTGGGCCTCTTCCCACCCACGCCTCCCTGGCTGTGTGACTCTGGGCGAGCTACCTAACCTCTCTGGGCTCTGGACTCGTCGTCGATGAAGTGGAGCGACCGTGGGTGCGCCCAGCACGGGCTCGCTCTGCGAATCTGGTGAGCCAATAATAGAAGGCTTAGTCTCATGCCATCCCGGGCAAGAGCTCGTGGTATCGGCAGCTGCTGTTGGCGACGTTTGTTCGGAGCAAGTGCGGCAGGAAGGCCCCCAGGAGGCTCTTGCTGGGTCCAGATATGAGCGGTGAGGGCCTGGACCAGAGCCGCCTGGGCTGGAAAGGGACAGCTAGTCGCACAGCGGACAGGAGCGTGGGGCCTGTGCCGGCCCTGGTACGGATGCTACGGGACACCGGGGCCGAGTAGAGGCTTCTCTCCGGGTGTGGGGAGAGCCGAGCCGGTGGGGGCAGCCTGACCGCCACCTTTGCCCACGGCCGGCAACGCCAGGCTGAGACGGATCCCGAGAGGGGAACGCGGTGGGGAGGAGGTGACGCCGTGCGTCGGCTCCAGGACGGGTGGGCACGTGGGCACCTGCAAGGGGAACGTGGGGACCGACACAGATAATCGTCCCCGCCGTGACCGCTGGGGGTCAGGTTGCGTGTTTGCTCCTGCCCAGCTCTAGTACCTGTTTGAGCCCGCCGTGTGCCCCCAGGCAGCCCCCGGAGCCAGGGAGGGGTGGCAGC